CAGCTGGCCTGGAACTCACTATGTAGACCAAGCTAACCTCAGACTCACAGAGATCTGTCTGCCTGTTTCCTGAATGCTGGGATTAAAGGTATGGGCCACATCATGCCTGGCTTACAGTTTTAAATTTTGATGTAGCTCAATTTATGGGGTTTTTTGTTGTTGTTGTTGTTGTTTTTTCTTAAATATGTATGAGTAGTTTGCCTAAATGTATGTAAGTGCATCTATATTGTACTTTGCCCATGGAGGTCAGAAGAAGGCATTGGATACCCTGGAACTGGAGTTATAGATGTTGTTGCCTCTCCAGGCCTCAGTTTGTATACTTTTACTTTTGTTTCTTATGTTCTTGTCATAGCCAAGAACTGCCAGATCTCTCATCTGAAATTTTTCTCATGTTTTCTGTAGATTTATAAGACTGTTTTGGACACTTGGTGTACCTTGAGATTCCATGTGAATTTTAGAAATTTTTGCTTGTTTCTGCAGAAATGTTTAGGTTTTGATGGTTATTATACTAAATCAGTAGACTGCTTTGGGTGGTATGATGTCTTAACAATCTTAAGTCTTCTAAACTGGGTGTAGTGACTTATGCCTATAATCCCGGGCTGTGGAGGCAAAAAGATTAGATATTCGAGCTATTCTCAACTACATACCAAGTTCAAGGTCCACCAAGGCTACATGAGACCCTATCTCAAAAAAATAATAAATTGGAAGCGGAGGCAGGAGGATCACTACAAGTTCAAGACCAGTGTGGGCTATAGTGTGGTACTTTAACAAAACAACATCAAAAAAGGAATACTGGGCTAGAGAGATGGCTCAGCAATTAAGAGCACTAGCTGTTCTTGCCGAAGACTCAGGTTTGAATCCCAGCACCCACATGGCAGCTAACAACCATCTGTAACTCCAGTTCCAGGTGATCTGGTGCCCTCTCCTGTCTCCTTCAGGCACTGCACAACACGGGTGCGCTAATATACATACAGGCATAGCACTCAAACACATAAAAATAAATCAATTAAAAAGAATAATAAATTTAAAAAGGAGTGCTATTTTTGTAGCTCACTATTTGGCTTAAGTGATGTTTAATTTTGCATCAACTGACACATACATAGCTGGAAATCAATATGTTAACTGGCCTTTGTGATTCATTTCTCCAGACGTGGGGATTTTCCCTCTACTGGTTAGGCATCTATGGACTTGGATGACAAAATCATATGATTTCTTTTTATTGTGAATCTTTCCAGTAAAAGTAGTACTTGCCTCCAAACAGTCACAGGTGAAAGAAGTAAAATAGTTTGGTCTCTTGACCTGTTTTGTTTTATTTGGTCTTGCTTGTCACCAGAAACCATGACCATGTTGACTAATTTGGTTAGAACAAGTGGAACCCTAGGGGAAATCCTGAAAGGACTGTTGGTTTGAATCTTTCCAATTAATGCTGTTACTTTTAATTTCAGTTAATTGTTCTGTAAAGTAGAATTAGTACTAAGCCTCTCTCTCATGGTTATTAAGAGATGCCAATTAGAAACGTAAAGATTTAGTCAGGGTTGCTGGGTCTGGTGGCACATGCCTTTAATTCCAGCACTTGGGAGGCAGAGGCAGGTAGATGGATCTCTTTGAGTTCAAGACCACCCTGGTGTACATAGTGAGTGCTAGGCCATTTGGGGCCTCAGGGAGACCCTGTCTCAAAAAGACCAAAAAAGAGAGAGAGATTTAGCTGGGCATGGTGGCGTACACCTTTAGTCCCAGCTCTCAAGAGGTGGAGGCAGGTGGGTCTCTGTGAGTTCAAGGCCAGCCTGGTCTGCATAGTGAGTTCCAGGCCAGCTGGGGCTTCAGGGAGACCCTTTCTCAAAAAGAGCAAAAAGAAAAAAGAAACCTAAAGATTTTGCACATAATAAATGATCAGTGGATTTTAACTCCTTTCTCCTTGGAAAAGCTTCCAGAATGTCATTACATATTTGCAGAACTAGCTTAGGCATGTCTCTTGCCAGCTTTACAGCAGCCTCCTACACATTCTGGACTAAGTCCACAAGCCCATTCATATTCTCTTGATGGGGCTAATGTATGACAGACTAAGACGTCTAAAAATCAAGGTCATGGGTATCATTCTCTAATTCAAGGAAGGGCCAAGGAAAGAGGACCCAGGCAAAATATTGTGAGCAAACTTATCTGTGATCTTGGCTGTGTGATAGGAGAAACTATCACTGCCAAAACTGCCAAACTGACCTTGGTCTTGGCATTGCTAAACAAGTTTTGCAGCTCCTGCAGTAGGCTGTGACATAATGGTAGGAAATGAACAGAGTTAAGACTGCAGTATTGAGGAACTAGAAAAAGGGTTTGAGACTGCTCATCTTCACTTAGTAACTCTAGTATGTGTGCATGACTCAGTCTCCCTTTTGGTTTTAAGGTCCTCCAACTCCTGCCTCAACATGCTGCTTTATTTGCCATCTGAGAAGGGAGGGTGAACTGGTTCGGCTTTATTGTAGCAAGTCCCAGCCTGCTAATTAATTCCCCAGCTTTTTTGGTTGGTCAACTTGAAGAAAGCTAAGCTTTTTCATCCTAGAATATCAGATGAGTCCATCACTAGGTCAAATTGATCGAGACCAGGATTTTCCCATTTCTCCATCTTCGTGTGACTATATATCAGTTGTGTGAGCATTTTTAAAGCCAAAAGATGCTAAAGTGGAAAGCATTATCCCTGAAATTACAGGCCAGATGGGGGTATCTCCCTGGTCATACTATCATTACCTACCAGGACATCAGATCAGAAGGATCACCTTTGTCAGCACATGCTTAGAGGCCTGAGGCCTGAAAAATAGTGACCATGAACATATCAGAAGTATGGTAGAAGAATTAGAATTGTGGGACTTGAGTACAGAAAATAGAACCTATAAAAGTAATAGAAGTTGGAAAATAGTAAGAGATCAGAAACTAGTCAGTGTCATAAGGACTGGGGAAAGCAAGTAGCACCAGTATTCAAGGAGCTTTTTAAAACTTTGTTTTGATTTTCATTTTGGTTTTGGTTTTGTATTACCTTTTCAGTGATATTTTCTCTCTCTTTCTGTGGGGTTGCCCACCAAGGAGATTTAAGTTCAACATTTAGCTGAAGTTCTTGATACCAAAGCAGTCCTTGAGAGGATTGAGGACAGAAGTGGAGGTGTGTGGAGACATTGCCCCACCCAACCCCCCATTTTGCCATTTCACTACAGTTCAGGAGTATTTGACTTTAATTTCAATACTCTTTCTCATGTACCAAAAAAGAGGCCAAAGATTGAAGGATTTCCCATGTAGATTAAAGCAAGATCTCAGGTTGGAAAGGAATAAAATTTTAAACATGCAGGATATTAGGGTAATAAAAGACTATCAAGTCTCCAGCACTTTTCTGAGTGCCAATATCCTGTTGTCTTAGTCTCTTGTAATAATACACCACAAGAAGCCTCTATTGGATTACCTTCCCTCTGTTCTGATAAGGGATTGTGAATGATACAGGCTTGCACATGCTTTCTTAGCATCTGTTGTTGATTTGGAAATAGACTGTGAAATGTAATGCTCTTAGTAAAGCTTGTTAAATCTACAGAGGAGCGGGGGATATAGCTCATTGGTAGAGTGCTGGCATAGAATGCACAAGTTCCTGGGTTCAATCCCCAGTATGCCAGGTATGGGGAGGGTATGGTCAGTCTATTACATTTTTATGATAGAGACTAGAAGAAAATTTCAAGAATATTCTCTCGGGACTGGAGAGATGACTCAGCAGTTAAGAGCACTGGCTGCTCTTGCAGAAGACCTGGGTTTGGTTCCCAGCATCCATGTGGCAGCTAACAACCATCCATAACTCCAGTTCTAGGGGATCTAATACCCTCTTCTGACCTCTGCTGACATTGCATGATGTGGGTACACTTATGTACATGCAGGCATACACTAATACATATAAAATAGAAATAACTTTTTTAAAACAAAGAATATTATCTTAAATCAACTCCTCTAGTCTGAAACAAGGTTCTTTGTGATTATTTTGGACCTTCATAATGGGCAAGAAAATCTGTGTATAGACACTTGAAGAAATGAATCAAATTTTGCCTTTTCTGTTGGATGGCTCTTCTGATAAGAGCCCTCCTCTGGCATTTAACCATTACAAGATGGAAAATCATCTTTCTTGTAAGGTTGAGTTGTAGGCTATAGCCCCTGTTCCCTGAGTTTCTTGAGTCAAGAAGAGGTTACAGAAGAATGTGCCTGTTAGGAAGTGCTTCCTTTTCCAACGTACCTTCGCCTCAGGTTCAGTTAGAAAAGCAGGAAGACATACAAAAGAATGAAGTTTGACTCAACTGGTTTCTTGGTGAGTTTGAGACAGAGAAACTTTTGAAAAAATGGAGTCAGATGAAAATTTGGCTCTTATACCACTTGAGCATCTCAGTATTTACCTGAGGACCAAGTCCTGTTTCTTTCTTCTCCATCTCTACATATGTTAACCCTTTCCTTTCTCTTCCTCCTCCCACAGGAGGAAACGCTGAGCAGCCTGTTCAGCTAGAAAATCAATGACTGTTAGACTTAATTGCTGGACAAGGCCTTGTAAACAGATTCTGCTTTTGGAAGAGAACAGGAAAACCAGGAGACCTAAGTTCGCACAAATGCTCAGAGCCTTATGTGAACATGCTGGCCAGAGTTCTAGCTTCCTTGTATTTGTGTCAGGGGCTTTAACCAAGTACGTTCTAGAGGCCTGTGTTTATTGAGTATATTTTGCTCATTGCTCTGTTAGGTGAGATATTATGTTCATCTATATATACATGAACAAATTTAATCCTGAGTAACATGAGATAGATAATAGATTGGGAAACTGAAACAAAGATTGGTATCTTGCCCAAGACACAAGAGCCCAAATCAGCCCTAAGCAGTTTGTCTCCAAAGCCCACTCTTTGAGAACCTTCTCACTGTGCCTCAGTGTTGTCCTTGTTCCTTCACAGATTATATATCTTTCTCTCCAGTCAAGGATCGTATCACCCATTTTTCTCTTCTAGTGCTGAGGAATGTAAGCAAGTTTGCTGGGCCTTGCGAGACTTCACCAGGTTGTTTCGATAGCTCATACTCCTGTACTGTGCCTGTCACCCAGGTGAGTTATATATGCTTCTAGCTTTTTCTGGGCTGTTGGGGAGGCTTGAGGATGGGGATATGTTTAATGCCCATAGCTGGAGTCAAGGAAGGACTTACTTTTCAGCTGTTCTCTGTAGCTGGGATATTCAGGACCCTGATTGTCTTGGGCGAGGGCAGGCAAATAATTGTCATTATATCTGGATACCATTTTCAACTACATAAAGGGGTAAATGTTACAGCGTGCATCAAAAAAAATTTTTTTTTCTTCCCTTTTAGACAGTTTTAGGCTGAAGCACATGCGGTAACAACCAAATAATTACTTTTAGCCTAGGCTACTTTGGTGAAAACAATGTTGACCATAATTTATAGCACCAATCTTCTAAGGCAGATTTGGCATATTTAATGCTCAGAGAGCTTATTCTTACCACTTTTTTTTTTTTTTTTTTGGTTTTTTTGAGACAGGGTCTCCCTGAAGCCCCAGCTGGCCTGGAACTCACTATGTAGAACAGGCTGGCTTCAAACTCACAGAGATCCACCTGCCTCTACCTCCCAAGTGCTGGGATTAAAGACATGCGCCACCACATCCAGCCCATTCTTACCACTTTTATGGTTTGAATGCCAAAATGCCAGGAAAGTACAGGAAAGCAGTGTTCCTTTTCTGTTTCCTGATAGTTTTCTCCACATGCGTCCCTTCTGATTCTGAAACAGCAAGAAGTTCAGCTAGGAAAAGAAATGTCTGAGTAGTAGAATCTGGTTGCCGCTGTATTGACTGGGTAAAGAAAGACATCTCTAAGCCCACCCTTTGATATCTTAAGGAAAACTTATTGTCCCAAGAGACAGTATTTTCAATCTGTGGTACTCACTGGTCATTTCTATAGTAAGTGCACTAATAGGTCAGGCAGTGTTCAGCAGTATCTCATCACACCCAAAATTGTTTCTAAATGTTGGTTCTTTAATGAGTAATGACATCACTTGGGTTCATCAGGGTTTACATGTGGCTCAGAAAACTAGCATAGATACATATCAAAGGATTGCTTGTGGACAGCTCTAGATGTTCATAGCTAACATTCACCAACCCCTTACCATAGATGTTAAGTATTGCTGTTTGTGCATTTAATGTACTAAGAACTTCATGCAGTTCTTTGTTCCTGTTGTCATTTTACAAAGAAGAAAATCAGGCATGGTGGTGCACACCTTTAATCCTAGCACTCAGGAGGCAGAGGCAGAGGCAGGTGGATCTCTGTGAGTTGTAGGCCAGCCTGGTCTACATAGCAAGTTCCAGGCTAGCCAGGGCTACATAATGAGACCCTGGAGAGAGAGAGAGAGAGAGAAAGAAATGTATCTTGAAGGTCAAAGATGTTTAATATACTAAAGTGAAGCTTTTCTGGTTGTTTTGCCATGGGCACTCAACTCTGCTGACTTATTCCTGACCTCTTGATCTTCCTTAGCTTTTGCTGTCCCCTCAGCACTGGTGTTAGACTGCAAGTAGTGTTTTAGTGAAGCAGTTGTTGCTTTGAAATCCTAAGTTTTAAAAGGCCCAACTTTGGTTTTGCTTATTTTTTAATGGAGTCTCTGTGGAATCCACAGAGAAGGACCTGAGCAGCTAGAGAATCTGCTGCCTTGAGGCCAACTTGCTGCCCTGCTCACTGTCTTCTCAAGCATAGGTGTGACTGGCTCTTCTCTTTTGTCAGGAATGTCTTTTTAATTAGAAGACAGGAAGAAAACAAAACCCAGACCGTGTCCCACAATCAGAAACCTCCGTTGTGGCAGAGGGGACTTCACTGCCAACAGGGCATCCCAGCAGACAGGGAGAGACGCCAACCTTCCGCGGCATCCTGAGGAGTCCCTGTTTGGGGTGTGAAGGAAAATCAGCGTGTTTTTTAAAGATGGCTGCAGCCTGTCCGGCATGGTGGGAGGGGAGCTGGTTTCCTGGTGAACTTGTTTCTAAAAGGAAAAATAATTTAAGGAAATAAAAAAAGGAAAAAAAAAAAAAAAAAAAAAAAAAAAAAAAAAAAAAAAAGGAACGCTAAACTGCTAGCAGATGACACACAGAGGCACACACATGACAGATACCATCAACATGCAGTGCATATGCAGAAAAATAGCAGTGAGAATCTTCTGTGAAACAGACATATTACTTAAGGAAAATGTGGGGATTCAAATGATTAACATAGCTGTGCTTGGAACTAAAGAGTCAGGGTCATCTCTTAAAGTTTTATTTTTTTTTTTACCTCTTTTCTCCTATTTCTTTCTACCCTTCTTTTAAACATAAGTGAATCCACCTTGAGAGCTGTTCAACAAGGAGCCCTTTCTGCTTCCTATCATGGTCACTGGTGATACGTAGGACTGGCCGGGCTCAAAGTTCATACTTATGTCTAACCCAACCCTACCCTGTTCAGTCACTAAACCCACTCCAATTCACTGATGAAGTTGTCATCAGTCTTGGGGAGAAGGGCCAAAATTGGGGTGGGTAGGAAGGATATAAATGTATATTCTGTTTAAGCCTTTTTTTCCCCTTAGTGGTTTATTCACCCACAGACATAAGAGGAAGAAAACAAAAATGAGGAAGAAAGAATATGGAGGAAACATATTTATAGGACTAATTGTATTTTGCTAAAAAGTATGAAAATTAATTGACTTCTTGGGAGATAAGGCCAAAGCCAGAAGTCCAAAATAGATCTTAATGTTTTGAAGGAGTGCAGTCCTGCACTGCTGCTTGATATGAGGACACTGTTCTGTACTGTGGTGTAGCCATCTCAAGAACAAACCAACAGCACCAAAAAAAAAGAAAAAAAGAAAAGAAAAGAAAAAAAAGACGAAAAAAGAAAAAAATAAAAAACAACAAATTTTTAAAATTTTATCAGTCTTTGTTTTTACTTCCATTCCCTGCTAGTCCACCTAAGTAATCAGCCTCATGTTAGTATCTAATAGGCAACTGGGTGCAAAGTTTAAAAAGCGGGGCCTGCTGTGTGCACATACCCTTCAGGGACTTGCTCCATCTGCATCCTTCTGGTTTGCCCTGAAGCCCCTCATGCTGTGCCCCAATTTTAATACAGCCTTGGTAGGAATAAACAGGTTACTTCAAGGCCAAAAGATAACCCCTAAATAGATTATCCCCTAAAAACAGTGTTACTAGGCTTTATATGTGTATGTATGTATGTACTCACATATATGCATATGCACATATGGTTCAAAATTTACACAATTTGATCACCTTTGACGTGATACACTAATGAAATCATTGCCACAGCCAAAATGGTAGTAGACATACACTTATTTAGTGTGTGTGTGTGTGTGTGTGTGTGTGTGTGTGTATTATTCACATGGGGGTGGGGGGGTGTACACACTATGGAGGCCACAGGAAGGACATTTCTGTGGCCTCCTCTACTTAAAACCACCAATATAAAAAAACAGTTGGCCAGGAGTGGTGGTGCACACCTTTAATCCCAGCACTCGGGAGGCAGAGGCAGGCGGATCTCTGTAAGTTCCAGGACAGCTGGGACTACAGGGAGACCCTGTCTCAAAAAGTACCCCCGCCAAAAAAAAGTCAAAAACTGTCACGGATCAGAGGAGATGAAGATGTGCCAACCAAATGCAATATCTTGATTGGAATCCTAAAACCAAAAGGGTAGATGGATAATTAAAAACTAAGGAAATCCAATCAAGCCGAGCATGATGGTGCACGCCTTTAGTCCCAGCACTCAGGAGGCAGAAGCAGGCAGATCTCTGAGTTTGAACTCAGCCTGCTGTACATAGCAAGTTCCAGGCCAGCTGGGGCGACAGGGAGACCATCTCAGAAAGACAAAAAAAAAAAAAAAAAAAAAGGAAATCCAAATAAAGTATAGAATTTAGTTGTGTTCCATAGTGATATAAGATGTTGCTGTTAGAGAAGGGGTATGAGCATAAAGAACTCTAGTATCTTAGCAGTTTTTCCACAAATCTGAAACTATTCAAAAGGGTTGGGAGATGGATGCCACACACACACACACACTTTTTTTCAGAAGGTCTCGCTATGTAACCTCCCAAAGTGCTGGGACCATGTGTTTATGCCTCCAACTTTGTTTGCTTTTACCCTTATTTTATTTTTATAATGTTTTATTATTTTTATTTTATGCATATGAAAATATATATTGCCTGCATGTATGTAAGTGCACCTGTGTCATGCAGTGCCTGTGGAGGTCAGAAGAGGGTGTCAGATCCCTTGAACTAGAGTTGTGGATGGTGGTTAGTTGCCATGTGGGTGCTAGGAATTAAACCCAAGTCCTCTGCAAGAGCAGCCAGTGCTCTTAATCACTGTGCCATCTCTCCAGCTCCAAATTTGCACTCTCATGGCAGCTAGCAACTGCTCATAACTCCAGTTCTAGGGGAATTTGACTCTGTCTTCTGACCTCCATAGGCATTGCATGTTACATGTGCATGCACATACATGTAGGTAGCACCCATACATATAAAAGAATTGTTTCAATATTTAAAAATAATTTTATGCCAGGCGTGGTAGCACATGCCTTTAATCCCCGCACTCAGGAGGCAGAGGCAGGTGGATTTCTGTGAGTTCAAGGCCAGCTGGGGCTACAGGAAGACCCTGTTTCAAAAAGACCAAAAAAAATAATTTTATGTGTATGAGTATTTTTCCTGCACCCCTGTCATGCAGTGCCTGTGGAGGCCGGAAGAGGGTGTCAGATCCTCTGGAACTGGAGTTACAATTGTTAGGTACCATGTGGTTGCTGGGAATCAAACCAAGTCCTCTGCAAGAGTAGTCAGTGCTCTTAACCACTGAGCTATCTCTTCAGCCTCACCTTTCTTATTTTTTGTTTTTTGGTCTTTTTGAGACAGGGTCTCCCTGTAGCCCAAGATGGCCTGGAACTATGTAGACAAGGCTGGCCTTGAACTAACAGAAGATCCACCTGTCTCTGTCTCGTGAGTACTGAGATTAAAGGCGTGTGCCACCCTGCCCAGCGCTTTTAAATTTTTTTGAACTGTGTGTGTGTGTGTGTGTGTGTGTGTGTGTGCACGCGCACTGGGGGGCACACGTTTTACTATGTATAGAGATCGGGACAACTTTGTGGAGTCACTTCTTCTGTTAGGTGGACTTGGGAGATCAAACTCGGGTTGTCAGGCTTGTGCAGAAGCACCTTTACCCACCTAACCATGTGACCAGCCCCATTTAGTTTTTTGTTTTTTAATCTGCATGGGCCATTTATGTTAAAAATGCCTCAGTGGGCTGGAAAGATGGCTTAGTGGTTAAGAGCACTGGCTGCTCCTGCAGAGGACCTGGGTTTGGTTCCCAGCATACACATAGCATCTAACAACCATCTGTAACTCCAATTCCAGGGGATCTGACACTCTACTGGCCTCTGCGGACACTGCACTCATGTGGTACACTTACATACATGCAGGGGAAACACTCCTCATACACATAAAATAATCTTAAATTAAAAAAAAATTTCCTCAGCCTGGCTCAAAACAGGTTATGGCAGTGAGATGCTATTTCTCAGTTGTCAGGTTAATAAAAATTCAGTTGAATTCCTTTACAGTTATGGAGGTTCACCAGTATCTAAAAACATGAAAAGGCGAATATGTATAATCCTTTTTTTGGCTGCAGTATTTTATTATATGTAATTATTTGGGGAGGAGGCATGTGCATGAGCCATGGCACACATGTGGAGGTCAGAGGCCTGTTCTTGTTCCACCTCGTAGGTCCCTGAGATTGAGCTCAGGTTGTCAATCTTGACAGCAAGTGTCTACCTACTGAGCCATGTCATCATAATGGTGGAAACACAGATAATTAGGAGACAAAATCAAAACATGTATCTAATCAAGCTCCTAGAGCCTAGCCCTAAGTAGTAATGTATAGGAGAGAAGATATGTAACCAGAGATGGAATCTGAAATAGTGCTGGCTGCCTTAAATTTAAGATAAATACTAGATTTTGAGTATATGTGTGGTATATATATGTTGGTATAAATGTATACCCATGCATGTGGGCCAGAGGTCGGTGTCAGGTGTATTCCTCTATCACCACTCTGTCTGTGTGTGTGTGTGTGTGTGTGTGTGCGCGCGTGTGTGCGTTTTGAGACAGGGTCTCCTTGAGCCCCAGCTGGCCTGGAACTGGCTATGTAGACCAGGCTGGCTTAGATCTCAAAGAAATCCACCTGCCTCTGCCTCCCAAGTGCTGGGATTAAAGGTGTGTACCACCATGCCCGACCCACCTTATTTTTTGAGACAGTATCTCACTGAACCTGGAGCACACTGGTTGGCTAGGCTGACTGGCCAGTGAGCTCCAGGGATTCCCATGTCTCTGCATCCCCAGTATTGGGATTGCAGGCACATGTCTCCATGGGTGACTCATGTTGGGTATCAGAAGTTGGATCCTTCCTCATGTTTGCACTACAAGCACTTTACTGACTGAGACATCTCCCCAGCCTATAAACACTGGATGTTTGATAAAAATTTCTTCAAGGGAAAATAAATTTTTTTCTTCTGGAGCTGGCATGTAGCTCAGTGATGGTACACATACTTAGCATCTGTGATAGTTCAGTTCCTAGGACACCCCTCCCTCAAAAAAAAATGTCTTTTATTAGAGAATACATGCTGGATATACAGGAAATGTTATTTCTAGGATTTGCTTCAAAGTCTTGGGGTAGGGGGGCCAGGATGGGTGTCTAGGAGAGAAAGACTCCATTCAAATTTATAATATTTGAAGTGACTACAGAGGCTTTCATACTATTTTCTCTGTGTTCACAAATGTTTAAAGACTTCCATAATAAAAAGATAAAGCAACAACAGATGGTTCAGATCATCTCATTAATCCTGTGAGCCAGATTTTAATGATGAGCTACCAGTTTGTATGTAATAACCTAATATGTTTAGTATCGTATTAATATACATGAAGATAGCATTTGTTTTTTGGACCAGGGCTACTACTATAGCCCAGATTGGCTTTGAACTAGTCATCTTCCTGCTTTAGCCTCCCAACTGCTGGGATTACAGGCATGAGCCACCATATTGTGTGTGTGTGTATCTGTGTGTGTCTTACTGAGAAGCAAACTCATGGCCTTGTACATTGCCAAGGACTCTACCATTGAGCTACATCCTCAGCCCTTTAACAAATTATGCCAGATGTGGTGCATACCAGCATTTGGGATATAGAGGCAAAAGGCTTGGGAATTCAGAGACAGCTTCAACTACACAGCAAGTTTGAAGCCAGCCTGCCTCTCCCCCCCCCAAAAAAAAAAGATGAAGGTGGTCTCAAATGTGACTACAATCCTAGTGATCCCTTTTCACTATTTTTTTCTGGGAAAGTTGATTTGGACAGGTTTTTAGACTGTACACGTTAGAATTCCACACCTTTGTCTTAGTCTGTTTTCTCCTGGAAAGCAAAGCCAGCCAGGTGAGTGTGAAGGCCCAGCTGACTGACTGACTCACAGACACCCCAACCAAAGAGCAGGTGCTGGGGGCAGTGCTGCTGGCATCTGAAATAAGGTCTGGCAGAACAAGTTGCTGGCACTGGAAAAAGTCAAGAAATGGGAAAAACTACCTTTAACATTTATTAATCCAAAAATACAAAATTCTACTCCAGCTTCTTGGGCTCTGAAGGAGGGTAGCTGCCCGCTTCAAGTGTCTGGTGATATCCTTGTCAGAAGAAAGATGAGAAAGAGGCCCAAATTAGGGAACTCCTAAATCAGGCCCATTCCCTGCAGAGGCCCCATTTGCAGGGTCCTGGCCTGCAACACTTCTTGGCACGTTTTGCTAGAGAAATTGGAGCAAGCATGCATGGGCCACTCTGGGGCAATTTGAGGTTCTTCCTCTCACTGGGGCTGCTGGCTGTTTCTTCAGAGCCAGACAGATCAGAGAAATCAAAGGACGACAGTGCTCAGATCAGAGTTAGGGAGAATCTGACCTCAGGCCTCTCTTCTTTGTCCTTGGCCCAAATCTATTTCCAGGAGACCCAGATGTGGGACCCTACAGTCAGCCAGGCCTCTGGGGCCACTACACTGTCATATTAATCCATGCAGCTGCCCCAGGGAGCCTGGCCCAGCCACTATCTGCAGCACAGTTACTGCATGCCAACTGGGTGCATGGGCCATGGCCCCTGGCCAGCACCAAGCCCTGTCACAGAAGGGGCCTGGGCCACAGGCTGCAACCGCTGCTGGGACTGCCAGATGTGATGGAGCTCTTTGAACTGCTCTACCATGTGGTCTTTGAGGTCTGGGTTTGAGATCTGTAGCCGGATGCTGTCTGCTGACCAAGAAAGCTCCCCTGAGAACATCTCCAGTAGCAATCGAGCTGCAACTGGCACCACCTGGGGAGCAAAGAGGAGACAGGACAGAGAACTGTTGCAGGGCTGTTTGATCCAGTTGGGCATGAGGGCATCCAGAGGCAGATGGTGGACTGCCTCCTCTGGCCCTGAACTTTATTCCTAGTAACCAAGCCCTCACTGCGCAGAGGGCTCCAGCTCCACCCTGGGCCAGCCCCATGTCCCCTAATAATCAAGCTATAGCAGAGTGGCCTAGGGGCACACCTGTACAGTAATGAGCTTCTTTTCTCGGGGTTTGTGGTCAGGCCATTCCTCTCCAAAGCAAAAGAAGATCTCAAAAGGTGGTGGGACATTGGTCTGGCCCTTCTGGAACAGGATGAGCTCTGTATCAAGATCAAGGCCTCTCGTTAAGGGCTAGAACTATATCCTGCGTGAGCGGCAGCAAAGAGAGGTAGAATGGACCTCACCATTGAGAAACTGCTCCAGGCTGAAGAGCTTGGTTTTGACTTCACGCTGGATGGGGTTGGGACACGCTCCATGGGCTGAGGCACAGGGCCCACTCCAGAACACCTTGCACTGGCACAGACGGATGGCGTACAGGTCCTGGCCCTGCAGCTGGAGGATGAGCCCACGGTCCAGGACATCTAGCAACTGGTTTGTATAGAAGCGCTGCTTGTCACTGGGGATGTCCTCTGGGCTGGGGAAGCGTACTTGCTCCAGGCTCACAGGACCAAAGAGTTCCACCTGCTCCTGAGTGGCCTCCAGCTGGCTATAAAAGAGCCTACAGCCTTGTGGGTTGCTGATGGTGAGGACACAGGGTGGCCGTCCCCGGTACTGGAACTTAATCTCCAGGTCAGTCACTGTGGAGCAGAGGGTCGAGGTGTCCAGACTGTGAGCCCCCTGGCTCTTGTTCAGCAGCCAGGTGGTAGGCCCAACCTTACCAGCTCCCTGACTTTCTCCCTGGAGACTAGCATAAAAGCTTTATTTGCCATCCTCCACCTTCCTTGTCTACTCTGCTCCAACCCCCAGTACTGCTCTCCTGCCAGCCCGCCCAGCCAACCCGAGTCCTTACGAGGCAGCATGTGGGGGCTGATCAGCAGGTCAGGCAAGAGTTGTTCTGTAGGGGGCAGGCTGGTAGCCAGAGGCCCAGGCTCCAGGACCTCAGAGAGAAGCTGCCCAAAGCCCACAGGATTGCCAGAGGGAGGGACCATGAGGCTGGGATCAGGAGCAGGGGTACCCAGCCCTACAGGTGGCTGGAGAGCAGGTGGCCACTTGACATCTTCTTTAGGCAAGGAATAGGATGCCATGGGAGGGCCAGACTGCAATGGCTCTGCAGAAGATGGGGTAGACACAGCTGTTAATGCCATCTTTAGGAAGGCCCAGGCCCAACTTTGACTTGCCATCCCCCAGCCTCCTTTCAGTGCCTTCCCCATGTATCTATGATACCTGTCACTTCTTATCCTAGAGCCCCAACCTCACCACCTCCTAGCCCACCTGTGATGCTCAGGCCTGGTAACATTCTCTGGAGCTGAAGGGAAACACAAGCAAAGGAGGAAGGAAGGGAGGATGGGTTATTAAATTTATCTGATGCTGAGGAAATACTGTTCAACAAACAAAAGGCAGTTCTCCAGCTTCAGCTCAGTGAAGACCAGACCCAACTGCCTGACCTAGCTCTGCCACCCTCATCAAGTCATGAAAGCTATCAGCTTTCTCATCTGCATTCTGCATTCTGGAGGGAGCAGTGCCCACCAAGCCTAACCGCTGTGGAGGTCAGACAACATGTGACATAGTATGTAACAACAAAGCCCCAGGAAGGACAAAGTGGGCACTTTGCCTTTCTACTTCAGAACCATAAAAGGACAACAATGAGTTACAGAGGATACTGAGCTCCAGGGGAAAGACTGCTCAATCCTAAAGCAGGGCAAGACAACAGAGATCATACCAGGGCTGGCCTTGGCAGTGCTTAGTGCAAGAGCTTGGTAAGTACAGCCTCCTCCCCACCACCCAGCCCCACATACCTCTTCATCTTCCTCCTCCTCCTCTTCTCCTACACCCAGAATGTAATCATCAGTGGGCTGGGACTCTGCAGAGAGGGTGAGAAAAGCAGGACAGGGAGCCAGTGACACAGCAGAAGCCAGGCCAGCCTGAGGCTCCATGTAGGCAGCCAGAGAGTTACCCAAAACTATTATTGGGCTTCCATGCCATCCCTCAAAATTGCCCAAACACAGGTGTTGTGAAGGACCCAACATCAAGAAGAAATAGGGGCCTCCTCTGAAACCAAGAACGAGGGCAATGATGACAAAGCATCTGGGGCCCTGGTCTCCCTCCCAGGTATTCCTAGGAGCCCTGGGGTTATAATCTAGCACCCTCCACAAGCATGCCCTGAACCACCATGCTGGAAGGTTCCTGGGCTTTCTTGTACCCAGAAGTCAAAGCCCTCCAAGTGGACACAAAGGGCAGGCATGATACCTGTGGGAGCAGGACCATTGGAGCAGACCTCGTAGATCTTGAAGGGCTGAGGTGGCATGTCCCGAGGGCCGTCATAGATGAGGCAGAAGTCACGGCTTTTGTTAAGGGCACAGCGTAGGTTGGCCTTCCACTTGGCTGGATCAGCTTCGTCCACCCCCTCGGTGTACTTCCCTGTCTCTTTAGCCCAGGCCTATCGCAGGAGAAGAGAACTGCTGACCCTGACTACAGTGAACCTCACCTGTCACTGAGGCCCCAGCAGGCCTCTTGTCCTACAGGAGTCACTGCTGAGTCTTGGCCATGGGCTAAGACATGCCAAACCAAAGACCTAATCTGTATTAGGTAGTTATGACTAGGCCTTGTCCAGCCCTCAGGATTCAAATGGGCTCAATGAATTCACTGCTGCTCACTGCTCCTGGGAGAGCAAACAGGTACAGTCTTAAAGGAACACCAGGTAACATGGTAGATAAAGCATGTGAATTGAAGCCAGGCTGGGTTTGAAGCCAGAATGTATCGGCTACATGCTGGCCAAGCCATATTATGCTGCCAGGGCCTATAAAACACCCAAACTATGCCTGCATGTAGGATGGATTGGATATGCTTCAACAACTGATACTATTATTGTTGTTTTTATTGTTTATTTTTGTTCTTTAAAAACAGTCTCATGTAGTCCAGGCTGGCCTCAAACTTGGTAAGTAGCTAAGGTTGACCTTGAACTACTGATCCTCTTGCCTACACCTCTTAAATGCTGGTATTACAGACATGTATCACCAACCCCACTGTTGTTGTTAATCATTATTATGGTAAGGAGAGAACACACAGCCTCACATTTGCTAAGCACATGCTTACCACTAACTCACACCCCCAGCTGGTATTGTTATTTTGGATGGCAATTTAGTGATGTCAGGATTCTAAGTTTTTCTTCCCTTTAAGCTAGCAACTTGATTTTGGATTCTATATAATTACATGGAATGTAGAAATATCCACACAAAATTTTGGATTTACAAGGCTATTCATTTCAGTATCTTTTTTTTTTTGTTTGTTTGTCTTTTTGAAGTGCTACAGGCGCCACCACGCCCGGCTCAGTATCTTTTATAAAATCAAAAGATCCAAAATATTCAGTGCCTACCAGTAAAGGTTATAAATTGTGGTAAATTCATGGGGCAGAATATGCAGGGAGATTTTCATGTACTGGTGTGATCTTCAGTAGGAAGTGAGCCTGGCATGGTAGTTCACGCCTGTAATCCCCACACTCAGAGATTACTAGTTGAGGTAGGACTGCTGTGAGTTTAAAGCCAGCCTGGGCTACACAGTGAGTTCCAGGACAGCCTGCGCTATTATGTGAGACCCTGTTTTGAAAGGAAGACAGAAAGGGAGGGAGGAAAGCATGAACTTCAGAGAGTTTTTTGTTTGTTTGTTTGTTTTGTCTTTTTGAGACAGGCTCTCCCTGTAGCCCAGCTGTCCTGGAACTCACGATGTAGACCAAGCTGGCCTCGAACTCATAAAGATCCGCCTGCCTCTGCCTCCCAAATGCTGGGATTAAAGGTGTGTGCCACCACACCTGGCAAAGAGAGTATTATACCTTTACCTTTTTTTGTACTCAGTGGGGCAAGGATAGGCCAGCTATTTGAGGGTATTTGCATATATCAGCACAGAAATCTCTCAGAAGGGTAAACAAGAGCCTAGTAAGGCTGCCTCTAGTGAGAGGGGTGGCTGCCGTCCTGCAGAGGTGGGAGAGACTTCCGGTAAGCAATTTTTACATCTTTTAAATTTTGAATCCTGTGACTGCTATTTATTCAAAAATGAGAAATAGACTCTTTAGCTGGCGTGGTAGTATATGCCTATAATTCCAGTACTTGGGAGTCAAAGACAAGAGAATCCTGCAAATTCGAGGCCAGCCAGGGCTACATGGCAAGTTCTAGGCCTGCTAAGTCTATACAATGAGACCCTGTCAAAGGTAAGAAGGAAGGGAAGGGAAAGAGGGAACAATCTAGAAGAGTTCTTTGAAGAGGTAAGGATCAAGTACAAAGACTTCTTAAGAAATATGATTCCAGTGTTTTTAAAATAAGCATCTCTTTGGCCCAACTTTTTTTTTAGGTGTGTTTCTTGTTTGTTTGTTTGTTCTTTTTGTTTTTTTGAGACAGGATCTTCCTGTAGCCCCAGCTGGCCTGGAACTTGCTATGTAGACCAGGCTGACCTCAATCTCACAGACATGTACCTGCCTCTGCCTCCAGAGTGCTGGGATTAAAAGCATGCGCCACCATACTCAGCTGGCCCAACAATTTTTAACTTTAAGCTCAAGACCTAAATAAACCATTTGAGACAAGTAAGGGATAGGATTTAGGGGGACATATGAGAAAATGTATTTCTTAACACTGAAATACTAACTAAAAACAGTCAAAAATATTTTAAAAATTAAGACTGGGAGCTGAGTTATACTAAATCCTTCCAGGGAGCTATTCAGTAGTCACCAGAAGTGATGTGGACATATGTTGGAAAGGAATGCAGATCCTGATGCTGGGTAAAAAGATGCAGGTTATAAAATAATACATGTCGGTGCTGGAGAGATGACTCAGCGGTTAAGAGCACTGACTGCTCTTGCAGAAGACCCGGGTTCAATTCCCAGCACCCACATGGTGGCTACAAACAGTCCTTAACTCCAGTTCCAGAGGAATCTGAAGCCCTCTTCTGACCTCCGAGGCATTGCATGACATGGGTGCACTCACATACATGCAGGCAATATACTCATAAAATAAAAATAATAAAAAAAAATTTTTTTGTCTTTTTGAAGCAGGGTCTCCCTGTAGACCCAGCTGTCCTGGAACTCACTGTGTAGACCAGGCTGGCCTTGAACTCACAGAGATCCACCTACCTCTGCCTCCCAAGTGCTGGGACTACAGGCATGCACCACCACACCCGGCAAAATAAAATATTTTTAAATAATAATAATAATACACATGGGCTAGAGAAATGGCTCTACAAGTAAAGACTTGTTACCAAGCCTGATGACCTGAGTTTGATTCCCAGAACCAACTCTTGTGTTATCCTCTGACATCCACAAATATGCTGTGGTACATGCATTCCACCCCTGCTCCTTCAATTAAAAAAACATAAAATAATTAAACAGGTGCTAGAAAAATGGATCAGCAGTTAAAAGCATTGACTGTTCTTGCAGAGGACCGGGGTTTGGTTCCCAGCATTCATATGGCATCTCACATCCACCTGCAACTCCAGTTCTAGAGGGATCTGACATCCTCTTCTGGCCTTCATGGACACTGCATGCATGTGGTATACATGCATGCAGTCAAACACTCATACACATAAAATAAAAATAAATTTTAAAAAATGGAACTGGAAAAAATGTCGAAAATATTTGGGAGCTTTTATCTAATCCTTAAAAAATTTTAGGGTTACCTCTTCAAAAGGGGGAATGTTAGAGTAGCCAAAAGCCCCATTTAAAAAAAAAATTCAGACAGGCATGGTGGCACACGCCTTTAATCCCAGTACTTGGAAGGCAGAGGCAGGTGGATCTCCGTGAGTTCAAGGCCAGCCTGGTCTACATAGTGAGCTCCAGGACAGCTGGGGCTATAGGGAGACCCTGTCTCAAAAAGACCAAAAAAAAAAAAAAATCAAAGCAGAAAGAGTACATGAAGTTATCAGAAAAAAAAAGTGATGGGGAGATATGGGAGGAGTTGGAGGGGAGGGAGTGGGCATGGATTTGATCAAAACACTTTATATGCATGTATGAAATTCTCAATAATTTTTTTTAATGGAACTGGAAGTGCATGCCTTTAATCCCAGCACATGGGAGGCAGAGGCAGGCAGATCTCTGTGAATTCAAGGCCAACTCAGGCTACAGGGAGACCCTGTCTCAAAAAGAAAAAGAAAAAACTGGAGAGATGGCTCAGTGTCAATGGTTAAGAGCAAGCACTGGCTGCTCTTTGCAGAGGACCCAGGCTCAGTTCCCAGGATCCACATGGCGGCTAACCATCCTGAAACTCCAGTTCCAAGGGAATCCAACACCTTTTCTGATTTTCACAGGCATTGCATGATACAGGTACACTTACACACATGCAGGTAATACACTCATACACATAAAATAAAAGTAAAGACAGGAGTGGTAGCGCATGCCTTTAATCCTAGCATTTGGGAGGCAGAGGCAGGCAGATCACTGTGAGTTTGAGATCAGCCTGGTCTACATAGCAAGTTCTAGGCCAGCTGGGGCTACATGGAGACCTCAAAAGACCAAAAATGATTAATAATAGTAATAAGTACAAAAAAACTTATTAAAACAAACAGTATTGTAAACTGAGTGTCTTGTGCATATCTATAATCCAAGCACTTGGAAAGTAGAATTCAAGGCCAGAATCAGCTACATAATCAGGTTCAAGGCCAGCTTGGGCTACATAAGACCATCTCAGGAAATACAAATGTATAAATAAAATATGTGGGAGTAGGGATGCTGCTCAGCACTAGAACGCTTGCATAGCATGAGCAAAGATGGGCTTGATCTTCAACATAAATACATAAATATCTATTTTAAGAATTAGCTGGCTGGGGCTGGAGAGATGGCTCAGCAGTTAACACTGGCTGTTCTTGCAGAAGACCGGGGTTTGAATCCCAGCACCCACAGCTAACAACTGTCTGTAACTCCAGTCCCAGGGGATCCGACAACCTCTTCTGTCCTCCGCAAGCATTGCACAAAACAGGTGCACTTACCTACACGCAGGCAATACACGCATACACATAAAATAAAAATAAATAAATAAAATTTGAAAGAAAAAGAATTAGCTGGCCATGGTAGCACATGCTTGTAATCCCTGCACTCTTTAATGTGGCTAGATTCCAATTTTGTCTATCATACACCCACACAGAAACCTGAAAATATTAACAATTTTATTTTAGTTTTAAATTTTATTTATTTATATTTTATGTGTATGAGTGTTATGCCTTCATGTAAGTGCAGCCATGTCATGCAATGCCTGAGGAGAACAGAAGAGGGCATCAGATCCCCTGGAACTGGAGTTACGCATGGTTGTTAGCTGCCATGTGGGTGCTGGGATTCAAACCCAGGTCCTCCACAAGGGCAACCAGTGTTCTTAACCACTGAACCATCTCTCCTGCCCTAATTAACAATTTTATAATCTATTGTAAAACTGTGGTAGTTGGACCTTTCCAGCATTAGGATGACAATTTCAAGGCCAGCCTTGACTACACAGGGAGTTCCAGGACAATGGACCATGTGAGACCCTGATTCAAAACCAAAATAAAACAAAAGATTCGAGGTGAGTTGGTAGCTTCATTTAGCATATGTGTATACTAAATGTGTACTCCTGTGGAGTGAGGCAGGAACAAGAGGTAGCTAGGGGAAGTTACAGAAAGGTCTCCCAAGGACCTCCCATCCCCATCTTGCTCTGGGCCACAGGTTAGAAAAGGTGATCCTGTGTCCCTGTAGTCTAGGCATTGGATGTTATCTGGCAAGAATGGACAGCCTCCAGGAGAGGAATGTTTGTGCTCCTCTACTGGAGATGAGTTGCCACAGAGGTCCAGAAAGCCCCATGTCTAAGACTTACCTTGAAGATGGTGTTGTCACCATCCTGGCTGGGGCCATGTCTTGTAGCATGGCGCCAGGGGATGTAGAAAGACTTCCTTTCCCCGTTGACCCACTGAAGTCCTGGATACTGGCAGCTGTTCACCTGGGCTACTAGCCAGGGCTTCAGCCTCACACGGCGGGGTGCAGGGGGACCCCCTGGGGCCTGCTGGTTCATGGCAAAGAGCTCTGCAGGACAAAGTAGGGTGGAACTCAGCAGATTTCACAGCAAGATGCTCCCTTCCCTAGCAGAGGGGCCATGGGGACAGTCTCTCCAGTCCATCCAGGTGCTTGAGGTCAGGGGCTCCTTTCCAACCCTCAGCTTTCTTGTCACAGAGTCACTGAACCTGTACTTTCTGTTGAGGGGGAAGGAGATCTCTGTGTTACTGGGTGCTGTGGGCATCCTTCCCCATTGGAGCATCCATTCTCTGGTTGAAGTCAGCACCCACCTGCTACTTTTCTAGAGATTTACCCCAGCTGCCTCATTTCTGGAATCAGGCCATCCCTCTGGAGTCATAGTCACAGCCAGTACCGTCTCATAGCCAGGACAAAAGCCTAGTTCATTTGCATCAAGGTGGGCTGACAAGTGTGTTGGGCCCTTCTCTTGGATCAGCTATTTCCACTGTGCCTCATCCCTCCTATCCCTGCTCAACTTTTTCCCCTACAGTTCACTCAGTCTCCTTCCTCTGAAACTGCCCTCTCTCCCAGGAAATCCTCTAAAGAAGAATCCCATCTCAGACTTCTAAAAGCTGGCCTCAGAGAAGCGGAGCATGAGTGGAGGGAAGGTTTCCACACCCAGTTCTCACAGCCCCTTCATCACTTTTTGGACTTTTGGCTAAGATCAAGCCAAAAACCCTATTCTTCCTTGGTTCTCTCAGAGATGAAGCTTCCTTCCAGTTTGGCCTCTTTATAGAAATGCCATTAATCACTTCAAAGTACATGGGGCACCCAGCTTAGATTGTACCCCCTCTAAAGCCATCAATTTCCCAGCTTCTGCTTCCTGCTCCTTCTCCCACATTCATTCAGCACTCAGGAAGCCTCTAGTGTTCACAGACCTATGATGCATTCAGCAGTGTCAGGAAGTGCAGTCCAAGGTCCCCATAGGAGGTAAGGCTCTCAGTCCACAGTATCTGCCTTACTAGAGTTAGACCAACAGGACACATGAAACCCCTGATGCCCTACCTGCTACTCCCAGATGCAGAATCCAAAACTCAGAGCCATCTGGGTCCCCTTCCTGCTCCTCTAAACTCCTTGGAAATTCTTTCCTTCCCTTGTCCATGCCCCAGCCTTGAACTCTTTGATCCAGGGTTGGTGACAGAAAATAGGAGCCACTGTGCTACTTGCTGCTCAGAAGAGAGTCTGTTGCTCAGCAAGTAAAGAACAGAGGGTTGAACAGACTTGTTTGGGTTTTGCAGCATGGACCCTCCGTTTCCCCTGAAATTCTCCACCCAGCACCTTTTGGGTTATGGCTGCTATAAGCCATCTCCATGTTACCAGAATGTCCCTCTGCAGACCAGTACACAGCTCAGCTCTCAGTGGCCCATGAAGAGCAATGCCAGCTTTGGACAGGGAGGGTGAGAAGACTCCAGCCCTGCCCCCAAGCCTAAGACAGTGGCTCAGTTCCTCTTTTTACACCAGCCTCCACCCTGACCCAAAGGAAATGAAAGTGGCCTGATGGGACAACTCAGAAATCTGACTCACTGTGGGCCAAGGGAAGGTAGGGATGCAAAGAAAATTCCTAAGTGGGTCTCCAGCCTCCCACTTTCTACATACATGATTCCCTGCCTCCCAAATCTACTGACAATTACCCATGTCTTTATGTGTAGCTCCAAAGAGGCTTGATCCTAGAATGGAGGGGCAACATTGACCAGCAAGCAGGCAAGTCTACCATAGGAGAGTGGGCAGTAGTAAGTTCTGCCCACATAAGGGTAGGTAAGTTACCCTGATGACCCCTACACAGGCAGGCCTGCAGCTGGCCAGGAGTAGTGTGGAAACCAAAAGGACCCACTCTATCTCTGCTGGAGGAGGAGCCTGTCTAGCTCTCAGGGCCCAGCCTGAGTTTAATTCAGAGCAAGTGTTTTTTTGTTGTTTTTGTTTGTTTGTTTGTTTGTTTTGGGTTTTTTTTTTTTTTTTGTCTTTTTGAGACAGGGTCTCCTGTAGCCCCAGCTGTCCTGGAACTTGCTATGTAGACCAGGCTGGCCTCGAACTCACAAAGATCCGCCTGCCTCTGCCTCTCAAGTGCTGGGATTAAAGGCGTGCACCACCACGCCTGGCTAGAGCAGGGTTTTTAAATTATTACTCTGACCTCAGTGCTAAGATGTGGCAGTCCTCTGACTGGTGTGATGGTGCATGCCTTTAGTCCCAGCACTTGGGAGACAGAAGCAGACAGCTCTGTGAAGTCAGGGTATGCCTAGCAAGTTTCGAGCCTGCTGGGCTAAAGGGAGACCTGTCTCAAAACCAAAGATGTGGTAGTCCCTTTATGTGGAGTAGGGACATAGACAGAGGGCTACCACAAGTGCCACCACCAAGGCTGAGAGAGAAGGTATTCACCAGGCCATGAAGGGCTTATAAACTCTGCCAGGGCCTCCCCTCATTTCACTCATCCCCACTGCAGCCTTCCTCAGGCCTTCCCGCGAACAGGACCCTGTTCAGCAACCATCCCCCCAGAAGCTTCCTCCTGCCCAAAGGAAGTCTTAGATCTGAGTCACAGCCCCTGCCTAGCCGTTTTGAATTTCAGTGTCTAAATATGGCTGCCTTCTCTGGGTCTGAGTGTTTGGAGTGAGATGACTGCAAACCCCCCAACGGAGGTCTGTGGAGTTCAGCCCTGAAAAGAGGGAAAAACCAAGAGCCTCCACTATCTTCCAGTATCCACAGAAATTTCAAAAGGGGGTATAGACTGCTGAGGACCTGAGGAAGCCCCCCAACAAATGACTAGGTACTGAAGCATCCTGAGGGGTAGCTCTTGAGCCCCTGCTGGGGTGGAAAGTTCCCACAGGCTCTTCCGAAGACCCTGATGAAGTCCCAGGGAGAGGCCACCTGGGCAGTCAGATCTCTGAGAACACGGGAGAGCCAGTGGGGAGGAAGCTGCTATATGGAATGAGTAGAGGTAGAGCTGTAAACTACAGGCAGCTCAAGGAAGCAGACTACCTGCACCGGACTAGAGCCTAAATCCCGCCCTCTCCAGATGAGCGACACACCCAAGGGCCCCGTCCACTTCGGAGTGCCGGCTGCGATTCTGGGGCAGCAGGTGCGACAGGAAGAAGCCTGTCTGGGCTTCCTCCCAAGGGCAAGCTGGGGGAAGGCCAGAGTGCAAGGGAAAGCCCCGAATGAGGACTTTTAGTTAAAAGGGGTGGTTTCCCACCGCTTCCTTAGCCATCAGCTAAGAGCCCATGGGGTAGGGACAGAGACTGTCTCCAGCCACTCGATCCTCACCTGAGGGCCTCCACCTTCCTCCATTCGCCTGGCCCACGTCCTTTCTGGTCCTGCTCACTTTATCCCCGCCCAAGCAGGGCTCTCATGCCCACCCCCGCAGGCTGCACACGGGGCAGGACGCAGGTCCCCTGGACCAGCCCGCGGGGGTCACCGCGGGGTGTCGGCTTAGGATCTGTCCCAGGACCGCTCGTCCAGCCGGTGGCATCCCCGCCCTGCTGTGCCAGGATGAGCCCAGGATAAGCATCCACTCCCACTCCGCCTCTAGATACCCGCTCGGGGCCATCCAGGGGTTTGAGAGACATCTGGGGTCTGGGAAGGCACCTGCGCGGGGGGATCAGATTCAGGCTCTGGTCGTCTCCTCGCCTGCGTTGCGGACGCACTAGTCTCACTTTTCCTCCACTTCGAGAGTCTTCATCATTCCCATCTTAAGTTCGGGGACAGGCCTTAAAGAAATTAGACCAAGCACTGCGCCCGGATTCTTCTCGCCTGTGAACAGCTCGGCGTCTTTTTTGGGGCCACGAGTCAAGGGACGGCGCCTCTACCTAATACCATCTTCCCTCAAACGCTCTACCCACAAATTCCTATCATTGGCTTCAAGATCCTTGGGAGGGGTGACTGCTTGAAACCTCAGCCTCTTACTGGAAAAGGTGAGAGGTGGCCGGGGAGCAAGGATGGGCTGCGCTCCTTAAGACGGAGGAGACCGGGCCTCGGCCCTGGGAGTCCCAGCCAGACCGCTGCCCCGCGTCAGGGTGCTCGGCAGTCTTGACCACAGCGAGGCGGAGGGAGGAGAAGCCGCAGAGCTGGAGCCTCGGCTGCGATGCCCACTGCACCACTCCGGCCTCAGAGCTTTCCCTGGCGCCTGCTGGACGATGGCGGTCACCGCCTTGCACCTGGATCTGGTGCGGAGCGGATCGCGCCCTGGAGACGTTTGTGGCCTGCAGGGTGCGGCTTGCGGTAGGTACCCACCCAAGCTCCCACACCAGAGTCGCAGGACCCGCACCCCCTCGCCCTCCTGGCAGGTGCCCCGCGGGCGCCGGCCAGGGCTGGGGCGGAGGAGGTGGCTTGGCAGTACCGGGTACCGCTCCCACCGCCCTTGGGGCGCGGGGCAGCTCACAGCCGCGCTGCTCCGGGACCTACCTGACTGCGGTGCTGAGCCCGGAGCACCAGCCCCGCGGTGCGGCCGAGCTGCGCCCTGGCGGAGCTTCGCCTCCCGCGGGTCGCCGAGCCTGCCCGGCACTTCCGCATCGCGCCGCCCCCGCCCCTGGGCAGCGGCTCCAGAGCCTAGGCGCCCCTGCAGCAACCCCGCCCCGCCCAACGGAACCACGCCGGGCCCCCAGCACTGGCCCGGCCACCCCCCAAGGTGCTGAGCACCCGGCCAGGCCCAGCGCCTCCAGTAAAACACCAGGCAGCGCGCGCCCTGCACCAACCACCGGGCTCCTTCTGGAATCTGGAACTGCAAGAGTCAACGACCACTGTCCCCCGACCACCTGGAGCTGGAGAGCTGCTTGAACAGGCATCAGTTCAGTCACACTCCAGGGCATTGTGAGGCAACGGAGAGCCCCTGGCCCTCTCCTTCCTAGAGCTACCACATGGCTGGCTCCAAGACCCAGACCCTCCTTTCAACCTACCTGCTGGTGAGGATCCTTGGACCACTGCCCCTCCTCAGCTTTAACACACACCTCCTCACCCTCTCAGGGTCAGCATGTGGTGGCCAGTCCCGCCCCCTTTCACCCTTACCTTGACCATGGGTTTGCCGTCCTGAAGCTCTTTAGGTTCCACAAATGGACCTTGTGTTGGGTCTCAACTTTCACACATCTTATTCCTGTAGGAACATCTTCCCGCCGTAACTCCTGCTTTTGAAATTTTGGGTCAGCATCACATTATCTGTGAGTCTAGAGTCTAGGTGGTTTTCCAGGAAGGTTCTCCTTGATTCAACCTGTGTTTTGCTGTGTGTGTGTGTCTGTGTGTGTGTGTGTGTGTGTGTGTGTGTGTGTGTTGTGTATGTGTGTGTGTGTGTGTGTGTGTAGAGAGAGAGAGAGACAGAGAGACAGAGAGACAGGGAACAAGTATAGAGATCAGAGGAGAACTTGCAGGAGTCACCTCTTTCCACCATATGGGTCACAGGGGCAAACCCAAATTGTCAGACTTGGTGGCAAGCTTCTTTACCTGTTTGAGCCATCTCAAAGGCCTCAGCTTGTGATTTTATTGTCTGAATTCTCAAATTCAGCTTAGTCAGTGGTCAGTCCTTGTCTTTCATTTTTCATTATCTGTAATAATTTTGTTTGTGTTTGTCACTGAGGATGGAACCAAGGACTTGGAAATGCTAGACAAGTACTCTGCCACTGAATCTCTATTCTGCTCTGCCCTATTATAATTTTAAAGGGTTGTTGTTGTTTTGTTTGTTTGGCTTGTTTTTTTCCAAGAAAAAAAGTATGTTACCCATACTAGTCTCCAGTCCCTGGGCTGAAGCAATTCTCCTGCCTCAAATGCTGAGTAGCTGAGATTTCAGGTTTACCACCACCACACCAAGCTTAAAGATTTTTTAAAATTTACTTTTATTTTATGTGTATGAGTGTTTTGCCTACATGTATGTAAGTATACCACCTGTGTGCAATCCTTGAATCAGATCCCCTGGAACTGAAGTTAAGGACAGTTGTTAGTCACCATGTGGGTACTGGGAACCAAACCCAGGTCCTCTGGAAGAACAGCCAGTGCTTTTAATCACAGCTGCCTCTCTAGCCCCTGCAGATATTTCTAATAAAAAAATGTTTGCTATGGACCTTCTACCAAATGTAATTTTACTTATTTGGAACACACTAGTTTAAATTTAAATTATTTAAATTATTAGTCAGAGGACAACTTTCAGGAGTTGGTTTCTCCTTCCACCATCTGGGTGCTGGAGATGGAACACAGGTTATCAGGCTTGGTGGCAGGTACTTGTTTTTTTACTCACTGAGCCATCTCACCAACTCCAATCTTTTTTTTAATGAGACAGGGAGTCACTATGTAGCTCAGGCCGATCTTGAACTTGCAGTCCTCCTGTCTCAGCCTCAAGAATGCTAGGATTGCAGATGCCACCACACCAGGCTATTTCTTTAAAATGTAACTGCTTAGCCAGGCATGGTGACCCAAACCTATAATCCCAACGTGGGGGAGGCAGAGGCAGGAGGATAACCACAAATTCAAGACCAGGCTAGTCTCTATAGTAATTTCTAGGCCAAATAGAGGTACATAGTGAGACATTTTCTCAAAACAAGCAAGCGGGAAGGGGGGATATATCAGTTGGTAGAGTGCTTGCCTAGAATGAAGCCCTTGGTTCAATCCCCAGAACTTTGTGAACCACATGTAGTAATTTACATCTGTAATTCCAGCACTCAGGAGTTGGAGGCAGGAGGTCAGAAATTCAAAGTCATCCTTGACTACACGGTGAGTTGGTGGCCGGCCTAGTCTACATGAGACCCTGGCTTAAAACAAACAACCTGCTGGCTTCATGAGGTGATATATACCTACAATTCCAGCACTTGGAAGGTTAAGGCAGGAAAATGACTGAGAGTTTGAGGCCAGCAAAGCTTCCATTTATTTATTTATTTATTTGCTTATTTATTTATTTATTTTTTGAGACAGGGTCTCCCTGTAGCCCCAGCTGGCCTGGAACTCGCTATGTAGACCAAGCTGGCCTTGAACTCACAGAGATCTGCCTGCCTCTGCCTCCTTAATGCTGGGACTAAAGGCGTGCACCACCACACCTGGCTGTAAAGCTTCTATTTAATTCAGTTTGTTTTTTTTTTGTTTTTTTTCCCCACAAAATGAGAATCACTTTCATTGGCGGTCAGTTACATTTTGTGATGATAGGAGTTGAACTTAGGATCTTGTCAGTTACATTTAATAGAAAAAGAATTCTGATCCAAAAATATATTTGAAGCAATAGTCAAGAAAAACCTTTCACTGTCAAATGCCCCCAACACACACATACACACACACACACACACACACACACACACACACACACAGAATCTTAGGGACCATGAGATTCCAAGGGTCTGTACCCATCCCCCTCCTGCTGTCCACTTTGCTCAGAAGAGGCCCTGCCCTTAGAGCCTTTGAACTTTGCCAGGAACCAGCAGGGGCTGTGTGCAACAGAGGCACCACCCTGGAGCTTGCATCCTGCTCTGCTGCATTCAAGGTACACGACCTTGGGCAGACTGTGTGTTTCATCCCCTGGTCTCTAGGAGGAAAATAATGTTACTGGGCTTATAGCATTGGCAGCAGGCCACAGGATGGACAGGGCTACGAAGGGGTTCTACTTCATTCAAGTCCTGTCTTCCCTTGCCAAGGAGCTTCTGAGCCAAGAACCACCCTGATCAGAGAGACATGCTTGGGGAGGAAGGAAGTGCAGCACTCCCATCAGTGAGCAGAACTCCAGCTCTTCCAAGAAGAAAGGGTCCTCTAGCCTCCTCAAACTGTCACAAGCAAACAGGAAGTAAGACCCTGCTCTGCCCCACAAAATCAATCTCAGTTCCCTTTGCTCAGGCAGGGGCCCCTGGGAGACAGAGAGACTTGGCCTCCATGGGACTCATCTAGAGTCCAAATAACTCCCCACAGGACAGAGATATGATCCCACCCCCTCTTCCTCTGATGGGGGCCACACATTCCAGGCTGAGCATGTGGTAAGAGGCACCCTTCCCTGCTTTAGGCAAAACCAAAGTAGAGGCACAGAGGGATAGAAGAAGCCATGTTACAAAAGGGAACTGAAAGAACCATAGGGTGGATGTCAGGGATGGAAGACAGAAGCCCGAGGAGAGGCTAAACCAGACTCCCACCACCTCAAGGCTAACTTGCTGTACATACAGGCCTGGGAGATGCCTGCTGCCTTTGTCACCCAGGGCCTCTCTTCCAGGAACCCCATTTCCTCTGGTCTGGGCTCTGAGGGTTCCCCAGGCTGGCCTGTTTCTAAAATACACCATTTTATGAGAATTTGCAGGCTGTACATCAGACTCTTGAGTCCACCAGGATAGAGTCAAATTCCAGCTCTTCTCCCCAGGAATTGTGAGACTGGACACACTTCTTCCTCTGCTGGAGCCCCCTTTCCATCTGTAAAGTGAGAGTTGTCCTATTCCTGTAACAGATGGGTGAAGACAGACCGAACCTGCCAGAAGAGTAGTGAACAAATCTATTGTGTCCCAAACCCATTCCATTCCATGGGGTGAGACAATAAATCCTTAAGCAGCAGGGCTGGAGAGATGGCTCAGTGGCTAAGAGCACTGGCTGCTCTTGCAGAAGACCTGGGTTTGAATCCCAGCACCCACATGGTGGGTAACAACTGTCCACAACTCCAGTTCCAGAGACCCAATGCCCTCTTCTGGCCTCCAAGGGCACTGCAATACACGGGTGCACTTACATACATGCAGGCAATATACTCATACACACAAAAATAAATCTTAAAATTAAAAAAAAATCCTTAAGTATCACAATTGTGTAGGGCTTCAAGGGGTGCCACAGAGGTAGCTTTGCTAGTTGGGGGTGAGGTGGGGGTAGACACTGGAGAGCTCAGAATTAAGGCAAACGTAATCCAGATACTCTGACTCAGAGAAGTGCATCCTGCAGTTTCCAGTAGCTTTCTGATCAGTACTGGGGCTTCCTCTCTGCTTATTACTAAATGTCGTCTCTGAGTCTTCTGAGGTATGACCTGGAAGTCCCCCACTTAGCCAGCACTGTCACATGGGCTCCCCTGACCTCGGGTACCTACCTTTGCCAACCCACGCTTAGTCTCTCTTCCCACAACCTGGGGTCTAGGAAGCTGTGCAGGCAGCCTCCTCCCAGGCCCTGACCCTCTCTCTGCTCCTTTGTCACACTAAGGGTGAATGCCACCTCCCTTTTCCTTGTTGCTTACCTCTCCTCTCCCTGATGCCCTGAATGGACTCTTTTCTGGCTTTATCCCTTTCTCTGGGCCTTGGACCCACCAACTCAAGGTAATCCTTCCTAAGATCTTCAGGAGCTGCCCTCAAACTCCAGCATCTCCTGACCTTTTGTGCCACCTTTCCCATTTAAACTCCCACGTCCCTGGTTTTCCTTATGCTTGCATTCCATTTTATTCCCCTTA